CTGGCAATGTTTGTCATATTTTAAGCAAATTAATTTGTCACAAAATACATTTTGTAATTAATATTATGGTGTATAATAGATTATGTGCTGATTGCTTCTACTGGAGAATGAGTTGCATAAACTATTTTTGTGAAATAGAATGCTTTCTTTGTTACTTCCCCATTGGTGATCTTTCTTCATCAGAAAGGCTCAATGACAGTTCAATCAATTATATAATCTAATACTTTACTGACTAAGTTATGAGTAAAGATTTAGTCCAACAGCTTGCATTTTGGAAAGTCCACAGGAAAGAAGCTCTTCTATTTTGCACCATCAGAAACCCACAGGAGAATCTCTACCCTGCATATGCAATGTGGACAGAGGTCTCCACTGCATACTTCCTCAAGTCTGCAGCAAAATACTTCTCCTGTGCACTAAGGTGTGCAGGAAGGGATGTGATCCTCTAACTTTTCTGTAAAACAAGAGTAAATTCTTGATTTCCAGGCTCCCACTAACCACTGTCCCAACTTCTCCTGCTTTCCAAGACCCTAATCAGGTTTAGAATATGTAAATCACAAGCATTAATTTAATAGCCTTATGTTTTGGGGTATATACATTTTGCAAATGTAAAAATTATGAAGCAAATTCTGTTGGTATAAAGTAGTGTCATGACCGCTAAGTCAATTAATAGTAAGTTACACCAGCTGAGAACCTAATCCTGTTTTACAAAATGGTATCCATACAAATTTAAATGTCTAAAATGTAAGCATTTGAGATATCATTACATTTTAAATGACTGCTTTATATTTAGTGAGACAAGGTTCTTTGGGTAAATCTTTTATTAGACCAACTCAAATAGTTGGAAAAAATCTTCTTTGCAAGTTTTCGGGCACAAACACCTCTCATCAGGCTGAGGAAGCATCTGTAATTGGTCTGTACTCTTCCTGGATGGAGTGGAAAAGCAGTCAGAGGTCAGTACATATGCAAGAAAGCCAATCAGTTAAAATGTAAATTGAGATGGTCAGTAGGTGGGAAACAGGTGGGGGGGAGGGGAGAAGGGGGCATGAATGTAGCTGTAGTCAAAGGATGAGAGACAGGAGGGGTGGGAGAAGGGAATGAGAATAGCTGGTAAAAAGTGGAGGGTTCACCTGGGGAGTCAGGTGTCAGGCAGGTTATAATGTATCATAAATCAAATGTCTGTATTTAGTCCATGATTTTTTGTATCCAGTAGATTGATGAAGTTAAGTTCATAGGCTCAATTGTGAAAGATATTTTGTAAATTCCCTTTGAATTTTTGTAATTGCTGTAATTTTGTAAATTCACTTTGAATTTACAAAATACCTTTCACAGATGAGCCTATGAACTTCACTTGATCAATCTACTGGATACAAAAAATCATGGACTAAATATAGATATTGGATTTATGACACATTATAACCTGCCTAAATCTGACTCCCCAGGCAAACCCTCCAGTTTTTAACAGCTATTCTCATTCCCTTCCCCCACCTGCCTGTCTCTCATCCTTTGACTACAGCTACATTCATACCTCCTCCCAACCCACCACCTCTCTCACATCTACTGACCACCTCAATTTACATTTTAACTGACCGGTTTTCTTGCATAGGTACTGGCCTCTGGCTGCCTTACCACTCCATCCAGGAAGAGTACAGACAATCTGCAGACGCCTGATGAAGGGTGTCTGTGCCCAAAAGCTTGCTAAGAATAATTTTCCCAACTATTTGAGTTGGTCTAAAAAAGATATCAGATTTACCCAAAGAACCTTGTCTGCCTATGTCCTTAGACCAACACGGCTACAACCTACACCCCTGAAACCCAGGGAAACTTACCTCCCGGCATTCAACCAGAGATGCCGGGAGGTAAGTTTTGAAGAGCCAAAGCCGGAGCAGGAGCCATGGTCACACGAGCTGGCGCTATGCCGGCTCTTCAATCAGCTGTTCCCGGGGCGGGGAAACCCTGGGCCAATCACGGTGGCCAGAGACACTGCCACGGGAAGATTGAAAAGCCCCACCAGAACCCAGAGGCAGGGAGGAGGAGGAGCACGCCAGCTAAGAGCACACTTGGTGTGGGGAGGCTCCAGTGGCCGGCAGGAGCCTTGAAGCTGGCCCGGGGCTGGAGTCCAAAGCAGGGGAAGCAGTGCCCCTGCATTAGACTGGGAGGGAGGAGCCCGTTCCATCCCCCTCCACCCCCCCAGCATCCAATTTCCAAGAGAATTCATCAGAGGCATTCCTCCCAGAGGCAAGGAGGAGGATGCCAGAGAGAAAAAAAAGAAAAGAGGAGACAGAAGCCTGGCCACAATAAAGGATTCCAGCAGCCATAGCAGCCAGGCTAGCCCATAGGAATTTACGCTGACGCTGGTCCCCCGGGAAATCAGGGTCTACCGGGCACAGCTGGACAACACCGGCTGCACCAATCAGTTGGCAAGTCGATGGGGTGTAGGCGAAGCGGAGCCCCATGGAACATCACATCGAGACTGTGAGTACCTCTATCCCTGGGGTCCCTAGGAAGAGGATCACCACTGAACCCCTCCTTTTTCATCCAGTAACACCAAGTCATGGCAGACGAGTTGAGGGAAGGGGGGTCCCGGTCAAGATGGACAGTACAGCTCTCACCACATCACTCCTAGGTACTTCCACATTTAGTGATGAACAACTGTTTAATTTGTCTTCCATTTACTCTTGTCTTTCTTTTGTCTTATTAAACTAAAAACATGAAAACAGACATTTGGGCTGCAGGTAACTTAATATTCTCTTGGAATATCAAATTAACAAGAGCGAATGAGAAGAAAAGCTTTTGCACTCAGCTGCAATAGAAGAAGGAGGTGTAATCAGCCAACTATATGATCTCTACTTCCTCCAAAATACAGCTGAAACTGCTTGGTCTCACTTCATTGAGCATGGGGTCCAAGAACAGCATGGAGCTCCCAAGCAATAGTCCCCATTTATAGCAGACATTCCTCTAAGCCTGGAGGATTTCCAAGCACATATCCATATCCATGTGTTGCTCCCTCTCTATGTCTCTACCTATATTGAGAGGGCTACAGCAGGCAGAATCAATGCCAGTGGGATTCCAAAGAGAGACACGGGTCCAAAACACAGGTCAGTCCATTTCATAATACAAAACTACCACCACAGAAACAGCTAGTCCAGTCTGATTCCAGTCACATACATAAAACATGTGCTTTTCCCCTTCATCTGGCTAATTCTGGCCCAGTATCTAAAATCTACTTTGAAAATAAATTCTTTTCTTCCATTAAGCTCAATAGAATTACTCAGAATCTACACCAGTGTAAGAGAGGATGAAAGTGGTCAACATGTGGAATTTATTGATTTATGTAAAAAATCCAGAAAGAGTCTCGCTATTGAAAATAGATGTGAACCTCTGAGATAAAAGAATGAAGTTTCCTTCTGCTTCAACCTATCTGTTCACATTTATTAAAAGAGACTGGAAAGAAAAGAAGAATAAGTATACAATTTAATCTTAAATATTAACACAGTGTAAAATTAGGTCAGATAGATTTGACTTCAGGCTTCATAAAACTAATGCTAAAAATGTTGCTATAAAATTTTCAACCTCCAACACAACCTAGTGGTTTACCATTTTCACATGATACTATAAAACTGGTTATTTACAGTGACCTGATGGACTGACAGTTATGAAGATTTGTGCCCTTAATTTTTCAGAGAAAAAGCAGACTGTTGATTGTCTCAGACAGACAGCTGCATAAATTGTTCTTCACACTGACCTGGACTAACCTGTTGTTTGCCAGCATTTTTTGCTGCCTATGTTTGGTTAATACTGCACACTTGGCAAATAAAAACAGCATAAAATGGAGCTACATATATAGAATCATCATCTCTGGGAAAAATAACTAAATTTAACATTAGTAACCTGAACAAATATTTATCTGATATAAGACTATTTCATTACACATAAAAATAATCCCACATTATCTTTTTACTAGTTTGAGGCCCAATATTTCATTCCTTGCAAAGGCAAAAACCTCATATAGATTTTTAATAAGTCAAAATTGAGCAGGACCTTTAACTGGTCCTCTCCTTAGTTTTTCAAATGATTCTTAAAAAACATAAAGGATACTATTCAATATAAACAATGGAATTAATGTAGTGCCACCCAATATTAAAACTGGATGCCATACATATTATACATAGTATTATAAAAGATTATTGCAATGAAACTACATTTTTTTCAATATAACATTAACCTATATTCCAAATGACAAGGAATAGCTCAAAATGTTAGAAAATTATTTTTGATACGAGACAACAGTGTTTCACATAATACATATATAACCTTTTTGGGGGGAACTCTGCTATAATAACATGAGTCTACTTAAAAACTCAATCTGAAACATTCAGATGCCTGTAGAATGTCTTCATTAAAAAAACATCATCACCACCTTATATCTCTCCATCCCTTTTCTTGATGACAGCATTCTAATTAGTTAACAACAGTACAACAGGATTCATGCTACAAATTCTTGTCTTGGAACAGTTTCTATTAAAGTAAAAGCTCAACAACTGATACAAAGCCTAAACATTTTTGAGAATTAAAATCTAAAAACACATGAGACATATTAGGAAGAACAGCCAAAATTCAAGAGGCATGGCATAGAAACTTAAAAAGCACAAAACAAAGATTTAATATGAACAGCTGCAACAGACACATTTCATTACAGTTCTTATATATTCATCTATTATATATATCTTATCTTCAGCATATAATGTATTTACATTGCCCTCCAAATTTGTCACTACTGTAAGCCTTCTTGCAACAGAAGAGCATATACTGAACATATGCTGAAAACCAAAGCAATAGAATATTTCAAAGAAGTTTTGTTAAATCCCTTCCTTTTCTGACTAAAACTATTATTAATATCAACACAGTTCCCAAACATTAGCAGCTAACTGGACAACTGTTGAGGTATATAATAAACCAAAAGAAATATAAAAAATATAAAAAAGAAATCCAAGAATACTTACCAAGTTATGATTAGTTGAATTAGAATCATCTTCTGGGAATGGGATGTAAACAGCTAAGGCCACACAATTGGCAAAAATAGCCAGTAGTATAAATATGTCAAATGGTCTGAAAAATATCTTATTAAGGAATACATGGATATTTAATTTCTCCTCATGTTTAGTCTAATTTTACTTTGGCTTTCTACACCTTGAATTCATAGCTTATATCTTCTGTTTGGTGACTGACAACCAGCATTAGGTGTATCACCACATCATACTGTTTTCCAATCTTTCATTGTCCTCTCCATTTCTGTGACAAGAAGCCTATCAACATTCATCCTGCCAGAATACTGTATATTAAATTCTGAGAAGGAAATCTAATCACACAATATTAGATCAGTATGTTGTCCATCAGGTTGTATGGAATATTTAAAAATCTGTTCTCCCAACCTATGCATGCATACTTCCATTAACATTAGAAGTTACAGATATGTATCATGGGAAAAATAAACCATACTGGATGAAGTCCACAGTAGGGGATAAGGAAGGTATCCAGTAAAATAGAACTGCAACAGTTCTGCTGTGTGAGGGCCCAGAAAGTCTGTAATGAGCCCACTAAAAGGTTCTGCACCCCTTTTTCAACTTGTAACAGCCATGCACCCCATCAGCTCTGTCTCAGCCAAAGCCAGGAGACAGGAGCTTAGGGCTTTGTACAGACATTCAAAAAGCAGGCAAGCCAGAATCAATCTAAGTTACATGGTTTTCTGTATACATCCTAGTTTAAACTGGTAGCAAACAGAACACATATTTGCCCTTTAGTGGGGAGGGCAAATCTTAGACTGGGTTCCTCCATTTTTAAACCTGTCAATATGTGCCAAATTTCTGTTCTGTTACAGGTATAGACTGGTTTCTGATCACTTACATCAGTAAATGTGTAATGTCTGTACCTAGTCGAAGTGAGTAGGGGAAAGGCTAGACATGTGACTACTTGTCTTACAATAATACAGAGCAGTGGTTTCAAGCTGTCATACAAAAGATAACAGGAACTACAGCCACTATCCTAGCCCAAAGGCTGAATGACAGCAACAGGAAGCCAATTCAATTCCCTCCTCACAAAAAAATTCCCAAAAATCTCATGAGATTCATGAATACAAGCCCTTATACCTCATCTTGATGTGTGTGTTTAGGAAGGGAGGCAGGGTATTTCATTTACTTCTATTTAGAGACATAAACAGTATGTCTCTAAATAGACAGACATACTGTCTGTATGATACACTGTCCTCAATTGCGTGCACAACTCCCATTGAATTCTATCTATGGGAGTTCTATCCATAAATCTAGAGAAGTATACTGAATACAATCTTATTGGACTTAGATTCATATTCTCTTTGGATAAAATTTTGTTCTGTGCCAAATGCTACTACAATGATTTAACATCTCCTGGGCCCACTTAAGTTCTATTTTGCTGGCCCTCTTCACAGGACTATTTTGCTGGCCCTCTAATGGGCTTTATGGTCAAAACTCCTATTAAGATCAATGATTGTTATATACAGCCCAAAGTAAAAAGAAACATCATAATCTGTATTTTTCTTTTAACTGAATTGAGTAGATATCAATTTTCATATTAGCAAGTTATTGCTTTATTATGTAATGCCAAATTCTGCTCTAAACTATTCTATTCCGAGTCCAGAGGAATTTTATTGAACTAACCTGAAACTGAGAGTTCAATTTACAGGAATTATTTTAGATTTGTACCAGTTTAAATTACAGCAGATTTTTCCTATTGTACTTAATTTGTACTTAAATTATACTAAAAATAACTCAAAAGAGCGTCTTTAGAAATATGCTAACCATTGCCAAAACATTTTGTATGTATAACTCTCAGGCTGGGTGGTCTGTTTAAAGGAACACGTTTAGTTTTGTATTTAGCAAACTACTTGTTAAAATAGTCATCTGTTCCTAAAGAAGTGTTATCAAAGCTAAAAGAACAAATTTTTACTCCATCTCCTTCAGCAAAATTACATTTTCTGTTTCTAACTCTTTCTGAAGTACTACACATATACATGTGTTTATACATATTATCAGCTTTTCAATTAAGTCTTAAAATCCTAGCTCTGATCCACAATGACTGAACCAAGAAAAAGCAACGAAGCACAAAAAATGCAAGCTCTTGTGAATACAGGTTAATAACTCCAATCTCTCCTACTGCTGTACATGGAACACATCCAGATGTGTTTGGCTGTGGATGTGTCTCAAAAGTTCGTATGTATCATGCATTGAAGCCTGCTCGTAAAGGTTTGGAGTAAGTCTCCAGCTTTTCTCCAAATCTCTTTGGCATCTAGGTAAACATTATTTTAAAAGGACTTCTGCATCCAGCTCATGAGGCCTAGTGGTAATGCAGCAAATTACTAAATGGAAGATCTACATTTCTCACTTGTTCCTTGGGCTACAGAAGCTATATACAAAAAAAAAAAAGCAGGAGGGATGGAGGAAGGGTGAGGAAAGTGAGTAGCAATATATGAAAAAACCCACGTAGCAGCTGAGGAAAGGAAATGGCTATCTTGATCTCAAGATGGATCTGTCAGCCTGCCAGAATGAAAAAAAAATGCTTCGCAGTATATGCACAAATACCTAATGGATAACTAACTTTTGAATAATATTTTCTGCAGATAGCAAACACCATTCCTGAGTAATCCAAGAAGTTTTTGTCTTTTTTTTACAACAGAAAATAGGAGAGGAACACACCAACCCTATTACAAATATACAGAGAAGAGCAAAGTATTTCAAACATTTACTGCAACTGGTGAAATGAAATTCCATGGAATAATGACATAGATTAAGGGATATTATTTCATCTTGATGAGAAGGGATTTAAGTATCTACCATTAACATTAATGAGAATTACACACATATAAACAAGCACACTATGTTTTACCTCTCCAATAGTTAAAATTTCTGTTGCCAGCAATTCAGTTGTTTTAATGCATAATTTTCTAAATAAAAATGAAACCTGAAACATTACAATGTACTCCTTAAATCAATGGCATTTCTTATATGCACACATGAAAAAATTAATTCAATATTTTAAAAAAAGATAAAAATGACTACATTAAACTCTGTAACAAATTCAAATCCAGTGCCATATAATCTTACAATAGAAGAACTTAAATACTATTCCAAGACCTGCCATTGCTTTTTTATGTGGTCTTAAAACAATCTCTTTGACACATTTGGGATATTCAAAGGACAGATGGTAAAAACAAAACTGCATCAAAAGGATACTTCCATTCTACTATACTAATGCAGGCTCTTCGGATTGGGTTATTGAGGGACAAACAGAAAAGGGCACGGGGCGGCCGACTGTTAGACGTATTACCCTGTTTTTTGCTCTTGGCATATTGCTGGCGTTTTCTTTGGGACAGAGATCCTACAGGTTGGGCTGCTGTGGTGCTCATAGTTTGGGCAGCCTTGGCTTGTCTAGCAGCATCAATTGCAGCTTGCCAAGATAGAACAGTTTGCTTGGATGGTGCTGAACTGTTTGACTGAATAATTGGTCCGTCACCAGGGAGAGGAATTCTGGTGCTACTTGCATAGTTTCCCTCTGTGGATGAAAAAAAGTTGTTTACTTTTAAATTCCATTAAAATATGCCAGCTAAAATATTCTTGATAAAAAGGACAAACTTATTCAAAGCATTTTTGTTTCATTTTTATATTTATTAAGTAGCAGGGGGTTTTTCCACAATGACAAAAAGGTTCAGGAATCAGTACATTCATCAGTTTAATAGAGCTGTCAAGATATGTGCTGACAAAGATGCACTTTACAGATTGATCCTCCCTTATCTTGCATTTTTCCAAACTGGACGATGCCTTGTACAACAAATCCTACCTCTGTCTTTTTGACTGATTTTGCCAAAGCAGTGTAATAGTTACTCTTTGCCCCTTTTCTGATTAAAAAACATCTAATAACTCCGTATCTGTAGCCACAGACAAAACATATCATTATAAAACACAATTTTAACTTCCTGTCCCGTCGTCCCCCCGGAGAAACTACAAATGGTCTAACAAACAAGTCCAGTCTTTCACTAATCTGTATTACAAGAGGAAAATATACGGATGCTGCTTTCAAGAGAAAACCCGGTCGCCTTTGGCAATGAACATGCTTGCAACAACGTCCGTACCTTGTGCACGGCGAGTTACCAGAGGGGAAAAGACTGTGAGACCTTTACAAAGGAAAACCAACTATGAGTTCAGCAAAGCTACTGAAATAACCTCCGTGCGAAAGGCCACCGGGGAAGGCAAAACAACCTTATGAAGCCAGCACAGGCCCCTGTCTTGGGAGCCGCCTGGCTAACGCAACAGCCTGGTGCGGAGGGCACCTGTAGGAAGGCAGTGCCCCTCATCAAACTCCAAACTTCAAGATGTCTGGGTGGAAAAAGGAAAAGATGGAGGGAGAGAGGCCTGGCACCGCTGCGTGGGGGAACCGAGAGCCGAGAGGGATGCCAGGCGGCTCCGCGCGGGCGGAGACGGAGCGG